GAAGGAACAGTGCTTTCTCTGAATTTTGACAACACCATGTACCAATCATCTCAATAATGTAAGCACATTGACTTCCAGAACAAGATCTGAATGGTGAGGATGGGGAGGGAGGCGGCAGGTAGAAGAGCAGAGGTCAAACAGAAGACAGGCTAGGTGGGTGAAGAACTGCATAATGACTAGTAGAAGAGGTTGAAGGTCTGGCGGTTCAGGTAGGTCACAGGTCAGGCAACGTATGGAGGCAGGTGGTTCAGACAGGTCACAGGTCAGGCAGGTGGCAAACAGCGATCAAGGAAGAAAAACAAGAAGAGGAAAGGGACAGAGATAGGAACATACAAGTACGGGGAAAGGAGAGAAAATTAGGAGCAAGTAAGGAGATGCAAGTGAGGAGGCTCAGGGCAGCTCCCCTCGTACCCCAGCGATGACCTGAGCTGATTATCGGAGTGAATGTTTTTGGCATTTTTGACTTCTCTTCCTCCCCTGAACGAGAAAATAGTTTATTTTCACTTGCAAACTTCAAAATACATATTTTTCCCTCATGAAATCTGTAGGTTTTGTATGTGAAGAAGGCAAGGTGTCTGTTATGTAGCTGACAACTTGGAAGTGGTTGCCTATACAGACCTTACACCTGGCCATATCATTTTGCCTCCTCTCATTTGACCTCTGAACAATCCTGGGTGCTAGAGAGGGCAGGCAGCATCATCTCCATGGACTGATGAGCTCCTCCTGTGTGTGCGGCACCAGATGTCAAGTGCGGCCATGTTCCCAAGCCTGGCATGCTCCCAGGAAGCCCCGTCCTTCCTTCCAGTCCCTGGAGACCCAGCCTCCTTTCCGAGCCCTGAAATTTGGCCCTCCCCTTCTCCCTACTCACCTGGTATCCCTGGCAGCAGAGTAGGATGGAGGTTCTCGATCCTCTCTTTCTTCCTGCACAAGAAATAGTTCCTTTACTTTTTGTATTTTGTACCTCTTCGCTCCAGAGAGCCAAATGAAGTATCAAAAATACCAACACACAGTGTACCTATGTTCCCGAAATGCCACTGTATTTGTATAACCTGTAGAAATAGGGTGGGGCTGGCACTTTCCTTGCATTTTCTCTGAGATCCTTCTCAGACTTCTCCCATGGATATTTCTCAGGTTCTTTTTACCACTACCAGAGCTTCCTCCCACCTCCTGATAGCCTTGGTCTCCTGGATGTTGGCTGTGGATGTGGACATGAGGAAGACTAGTCTAGTCTGCAGGATCTTAGGACATATTATTGACCCTGTGCTGTGTGCTGGGTGTTATAGGAGCAGGTTCAGCAGGCCCAGCTCAAAATAAACTGTGATAGAATTTCCATAGTTCTTCCATGGCTCAGTGTGCATGCCCTCCTCTATCATTGTATTACGTCACACTTCATGATATGCAATAAGTAATCAGGACAAGGGAGTTGATATCCTACAAAGATATCATGCCTCTAATCTGGAGATAGAGGTGGAGATAGCATACCTCTAATCTGGGGAGTTCTTGTCTGTAGGAATTTAATGTTGTGCCTATTTTGTGACATATAGCACCTGACCATTATTGGAATGGGAACAATTGGAATTGTCCCAGGTAGACCTGGGTGCCCTTCATGCTTGGCACCAAGAATCTCATAGAGTCATCTATGTCATTAGCAGATGAGATGACCACCAGAGCTGCAGGGAATATACATATCAAATGGGGAAAGGGTGAAAGAAACCAGTTCAAAGGATTAGACTGTCATATATTACAAAAGGGGTTGCAGCCATCTACCGGCATTCCTGTCCGTAGATAAGGAAAGATAGTATCTTAGAAAGCTGTGGTAGCATATAACCAGGACAGCTGGGATGCCAAGGGAGGCAGGTCACGGCATGTCTGAGATAGCTCTTCCATGCTTAATCTACCCAATTCGCTTTGAGTAGTCTCCCCAGACCTCCTTCCCCTCGATATTCCTTATCTTAGGACTTAGACTGTAGAGCAAATTGGAGCCTTTTTATTGAACACTACTGAACTACCAAGGAACATAGAAAAAACAAACTTTTCTTTGGGGAGACAAAGGGCATTTATATTTAGCTTGTCTGCCTTTAAAATTGAGAATTAAGAATAGAACACATAAACTTTGCTAAAACAGTGAAATAATAAGGGAAAAGCATTGGGAGAGAAGAGAAAGAGATGATAAGAAAAAAACAGGAGAGGAAGAGAGAGAAGGTCGAGGAGAGCAGGCGAGGGAAGGACAGAGGCTGAAGCGCAGAGTGTGGGAGGGGGGAGTTCATACAGAGAAGGGCTTAGACAGACAGGCCACAGTCAAGAGTGTGGCGTAGGCCCCGGAGATCTGGATTCTTAACCTGTAAAAATCCCACATCACATATCATGCTTAGTTGGTGAAGTATTGAAAGGATCCCCTGAGATCAGGAATGAGACTAGAATGGCTACTATTACTACTTCCATTTGACCTGGTCCTCCCGTACTTAGCTGGCAGAGTAAGGCTGAAAAACACATGCAGGGAAAGGAAGAAGTAAAACTTAACTAGTCACGGATGACATGATTTGTGTGCACAGAAATTCCCCGAGCGACTTCAGCAAGGTCTCTGGGTACAAGGTCAATCTACAAAAATCAGTTGCATTTCTATGTGTGAGCACAAATAAAGGGAAATGGAAATTTACAAAGTGATGTGTTCAATTACATAAAAAGCTTCAGATGCCTTACTGAGTTCGGGCCACAAGAACAACACTAACAGTCACGACACTGGGGGGCAGCAGCAGTAGCTGGGGGTCACTGAGTACCTGCCATGTGGCAGACAGCGTCCTAAACCTTTACCTGGATTCATTCCTGTCACCTTCACAACCACCCTTTAACATTTGTGATGAGGATTCAGTGAGGAAATGTACCCAAGACACTTAGCAAATTTCCTTGCATGTAATAAGTGCTCAATAATACGTAAGACCCCCTTGTTAATAGAACAAAGCTGCTATTTATTTAGTTTAAGATTTGTAGAACAGTCACACATTTTTGTTGTTTTTTGTTTTTTTTTTTTTTTTAATTTTAAGCAGCTCATGAATTCATTTATTCAGCCAGGCACTGCTCCTGGATTTAGAAATACAGTGGGTAACAAAATAGGTAAAATCCATGCCCTAGTGGAGTTTACAATTTATGGGGAAAATAGAGATCCATCAAATGGTCTCACAACTATTAAAATACAGCAAAAAAAAAAAAAAAAAAGGGAGTTAAAAGAATGTAAAAGGGAGGAATGGGGTCTGGGCCACAGAATGAAAAGAGGCTTTGATACAAAAAAATCAGAGGTGAGCTGAGTTTAGAAGGATGTAAGTGGTACGGGGGCAGGGATAGGAGAATGTTCCATGGAGGGGAAGCAGTCTGTTTGAAGGGGATGAAGGTTGTAGGTGAAAGGAGAGCTTGGCATGTTTCAGGGTTTGAAAAAAATGTCTGAGTGGCTGGAGCTCAGAGAATGGGAGGGTTGTTGTGTGAATAGGACAGGGGATGGGCAGTCTTTTTCACAGTTGTCGTAAGAACGATGGAGTGCACTGTGGGGCTTCATGCAAAGGAATGATGTGGTCAGATTTGTGTTTTGAAAATATTTCTCCACTGAGGAGGCTACTGCTGTAGTCTGGGAAAATACGGGAGTGTAACCCAGGCTTGGGCACCAGCAATAGAGAGAGGAATTAGTGGGAAGATGTGTGAATTGTTTAAGGGGTAGAATGTGATGAGGTTTGGAATTAGCTTGGGTGAGGGAGGAGGGATGCCCCACTAATGCTTCCCCTCCTAGCATCTGACTTGAACTGGGTGACTAGGAGTGACATTCACTGAGGTGAGGACAGCCTTTTCTTCACCATTAAATGGCTTTGCTAATTTTATAGTGAAACTTGAGAAGATATTTGAAGTATTTACTTTCCTGTGGAAATTTGAATATGTTACTCATAGGGAAAGGCTGAAGACACTGATTTTGGAAGCTTAGAGAGGTTTACTCTGTTTCCCCTTTGACTTTCAAAAGATGTCAAATTGTTCTATCTTTAGTCTTAAAAAAAAAGGCAGGGATATCAAACTTCTAAATTCCTAAAGGTTACATTTAGAACCAGTCTCTCACTGTCCCCCCTCCATCAAATATATTTCTCCAATCTGAGAAACAGAGTGCATCCAGTGCAGAAATCTGTATGTCTTAACTTCTCTTTGTGAACCTTTACGTCTCTTCTCCCTACATCACCAAGCAGTTAGACAGGAGAAAGTAATTCTTGGGGTTGGGAAGTTATGGCCTAATCCAGTGATTGTCTGGACTGGGTTATATTAAGACCTAGCTGCTCTGATGTTCTCTGCCTCCAGTTAGAAGGTCTTTGGCAGATCGAGTGGGGCTAGGAAAGACTTTCATATCTCTTGGTCAAAGCCTTCCCTTAATGCTAATGGTTCTGGAGTTGATCTGAACAGGCCTGTGAAAAGGGCCGAGTTGGCCCAGGTTCCCCAGGACTGATTGGGTCCCCTCGGGCCTTGGCATTATCTTAGAGAAGGCCTGAGGCAGATCAGAGTTTGAGCCTTCTGGACTTCCTTCCATTTTTATGTAGCAGAAACTAGCCCGCAGGAATGCCTGAAGGGATGAGAAAGCATTAGTGGTGTAGTCAGAGGGGAATGTGAAGTTGGAGGGCAGTCCCACAGTCTGATCCTTTGCCTAGGTACTGGATAGGGGGTGAGGCGTGTGGGCTGATGGTGGCTGTGTGTGTGTGTGTGTGTGTGGTCACTCTCCCACAGTTTCGTCTCTGTCTCACAAACACACATGCACAGGAGTGTCCTCAGTCTGTGTCCGCCTCTCTGTCAGAGCCTAGCAGCCTCCTTGGCATAGGGGATTGGGAATAGGACTTCATGAGTCGTCTGAGTTCCCTGCAGCTCCTAGACTCTGAGGCCAGAGTGAAATCTGAGCATGGGCGCTCTCTCGGGCTGCATCTCTCAACCCCTCCCCCATCCCCTGCCAAAAGCCTGACTCTGCCCTGTGTTCCTTCCTGCAGCATTCCACTTCAGTGAGCATCATGGGCTTTTCCAACACGCTGGAGATGGAGCTGTCATCTACCAGGCTGGCAAGGACCCTAGAGCCACAGATCCAGAGCGTGAGCAGCCTGACTGCTGCCCCTTCCCACATGGTCCCAAGCCTGCTGAGCGGCACGCCCACAACTGTGTCCGGCCTGATGAGCGGTCAAAACCAGGCTATGCCCAGCCTGACAGTCAGTCATCTGCAGACCATACCCAGCCTCATACGCAGCGTGCCCCAGCCCATGCCCGGTCTGATGAGTGATTCCTCCCAGGCCATCCCAAGCCTAGGAAGTAATCACTTGCCGGCCAGGCCCAACCCGATGTCCGGTCTCACCCAGACTGTGCCGAGTCTGGCGACTTGTCCTCTGCAGAGCATGCCTCCAGCAGCTGACATGCAACCGGAAAGTGGTTCCAGCTGCAGTCCAGGCTCTGGCCGAGCTGGAGGGAGCCTGTGCCCTGCAGATGGGGCTGACCCCTCTCTTGGGAATGCCCTGTGTAAGGTAAGTCCCGGGGAAATGACATTCAACTGCCTCTGCTCATCATTGGGCAACAGGGTGGCCCCTGAAGGGCTTATCCTGGCCTTAGCTTCATAGCTCTATGACTACTAACAGCAAAGCCGCTTGATTTCTTTGATTCTGGTTGGCCTTTTGCTTTTGAAAGATGGAAAGTGAGGATTCTACCCGCTTCACTGACTCTCTGGGACAAGACCCCACAACCCCGGGTCTGGAGGTTTCCAAGGATGTGGCTATGCCTGCAGAACTGGAGGAGCCAATTAACCTCTGTGTGAAGAAACCTCCCCTGGCGCCAGCGGTCAGCACATCCATGGCTCTGCAGCAGTACCAGAACCCAAAAGGTGAGGCACAGGTCAGCAGAGCAGCCTGTCACCCGTGCTGGCCACAGACGTGAGCTCAGCACTGCCGGGTCAGATGCAGGGCAGGAGGCAGGCTAGGGGCAGGCGGGAGCAGCGTTTCTCTCAGGCTCCGTTCACTTCTTCCCTCCAGAACTGACTTACTGGGACCTCTTCTGTTTCCCTCACTGTGGCCGGGACTTAGCCTCGTGTAACATTTCCATGCAAAGAGTTCTGGAGGTCTGGGTCAGAGGCGGGGGAAGCAGGGAGCACTCATCTCAGAAGGGCTAGCCTTGGCAAAATATTTTAGGGAAAAGAGCGTATCTGACTTTGGAGTCAGGTATATGTCACTTAGAAAACCAGTTCTGTCTTTTTATGGTTGACCTTTCTGAGCTGGTTTCCTTCTCTGTAGATGGGGCTAATCATAGCTACTTCATAGACCACCGGGACAAATAACTACAGTGAGATCACTTGCTAGTAGTAACGAGAATTGGCCTTGCTTTGCCTCGCGCCCGGCAGTCCTTTGGATTCGTGTTGTGCCCCAGAGTAAAGGGAATTTGGACCAGTGGACACTGGCTCTGATTCTCTTCTCAGCTACCCACACCACCTCCTCAAATGGGGCTTCCTTTCTTCTGTCATAGGCGAGGGCTCGTCGGGGAGTTTGAAAGCAACCACCGAGTGAGGATTTGGGACTTGTTCTGTTTAGTGTATGATACATATTTAGTCCATAATGACCACTCTATTTCCTATACCTTTAATAAACAAAAAGGAAATAATTTTTCTCCTTGTTTTTTCGCACTGACTGAAAGACCAACTGAACAATGATTGGTTCTTATTAACTGCATAGTAATGGGACCCTAAATTTTAAGCAGTTAAATGTTTTGGACCCGGCTTGCCCATGGAAAGTGCCTAGGACAGTGCCGGTGCCAAGTGGGTGCTTGGTCAATGCTAGTTCCCTCCTTCCTCCGCACACCGCCTCCTGCCCATCTACACAGGCTCCACTGCACCACTCAGGGCAGGGCGGCAGGGAACCTTTTGCCTATGGAGTATGAACTAGACTCTCAGGCAGTACTAAAATCCCAGCACTGGGCTGAAAATGCAGAGGCTGGACAGAATGACAGCTGAGAGCAGGTAACACCAGTATATGGAGAACAAGAGATTTCTGAACTAATTTGAAGATGAGAAGCTGGCCCCTCAGCACCTGACCCAATACTCATCCCTAGATAGCCTCTGAGTATTATCTGTTTGTTTTTTTAAAATTTATTTTTAGGGGCGCCTGGGTGGCTCAGTTGGTTAAGCAACTGCCTTCGGCTCAGGTCATGATCCTGGAGTCCCGGGATCGAGTCCCACATCAGGCTCCCTGCTCAGCGAGGAGCCTGCTTCTCCCTCTGACCCTCCCCACTCTGATGTACTCTCTCTCATTCTCGCTCTCTCAAATAAATAAATGAATCTCTAAATAAATAAATAAATAAATAAATAAATAAAATTTATTTTTAACTTTTTAACTTCTTAAATATATTTTTTTAAGATTTTATTTATTTATTTGACAGAGAGAGACACAGCGAGAGAGGGAATACAAGCAGGGGGAGTGGGAGAGGGAGAAGCAGGCTCCCCGCAGAGCAGGGAGCCCGATGTGGGACTTGATCCCAGGACCCTGGGATCATGACCTGAGCCGAAGGCAGTCGCTCAACCGACTGAGCCACCCAGGCGCCCAACTTCTTAAATATTTTTTAAGTTTTATTTATTTAAGTAATCTCTACATCCAACATGGGGCTTGAACTCACAACCCAGAGATCAAGAGTCGCATGTTCTTCAGACTGAGCCAGCCAGGCACCCCATATCTGTTTTTCTTTTTATTTATTTATTTTTAAAGATTTTATTTATTCCCATTTGAAAGAGAGAAAGAGCACAAGTAAGGGAGGGAGGTTGTAGGGGAGAGGAAGAAGCAGGCTCCCCACTGAGCAGGAAGCCGAACGTGGGCTCGATCCCAGGACCCAGAGATCATGACCTGAGCCAAAGACAGATGCTTAACCATCTGAGCCACTCAGAGACCCCTCTGTTTGTCTTTTTAAATATTTTATTTATTTATTTGAGAGAGAGAGCGTGTGGGGGGAAGGGCAGAGGAAAGGGAAATAGAGAATCCCAAGCAGACTCCCCACTGAGCGTGGAGCCTGACGTGGGGTTCAATCCCAGGACCCTGGGATCATGACGGGAGCCAAAACCAAGAGTTGGATGCTTAACCGACTGAGCCACCCAGGTGTCCCTGTTTGTCTTTTTAAAAGAAGGTGACCTTCTTCCCCTCTCAGGAAGGAGAGCCATGGTAGGATGCCACCATTACGAATGATTACAGTGTGGGTAACAATTGTGTGACAGGTGTGTGGCCAACGGTATGAGTAGGACATATGAGTGGAAGGTATGGGTCATAAATGTACATCACAGGTATTTGTCTTTTGCCTTAGAGCATGAGAGTTTTGAGCAAGGAGCCCTGGAGCTGGATGCAAAAGAGAACCAGAGTATCAGGTAACAGGCTCTTGGCCCAATCTCCCTCTCTCACCCTCCAACTTCATGTCCTGGGAGGTTGGCACAGGAAGTCGGCATCCTTGATGACTTAACTAGAAGCAGAAGTTTACCTGCAACCATCTTCTTCAACTCCCAGATGCTCAAGTGGGATCTGTGTGGTTGGGAGTCTGGGATCTTGTGGGAGGGTATCCTGGCTCCCGCAGCAGGGGGCATGTACTCTGTGTGAGGTCCTCCCTCTTTAGGAATTCCCCTTTCTTTGAGCAAAGCGCTCCCCTGGGGCAGGAGAGTGAAACGTGGGCCAGCACAGGGTGGGACTGCGATCTGGAGTAGCGGCATGTGGGATCTTGGAGGAGCTGACTTAGAGGCTGGGGTCAGAGGAGGCTCCTCCAGAGACCCAGAGGTGTCTCTCTTGCCACAGGCCCTTCAGTAGTGAGCCTAAGATTCCCTACGTGCGGCTGGAGCGGCTCAAGATCTGTGCGGCCTCCTCAGGAGAGATGCCGGTGTTCAAGTTGAAGCCCCAGAAGAATGAGCAGGATGGGAGCTTCCTGCTGATCATTGAGTGTGGCACTGAGTCCTCCAGCATGTCCATTAAGGTACCACTCTGCTCTGTCTTGTCCTTGAACTTGGCCCACCCTGGAAGCCCCTCTTCTCTCTCTGCCTCTGTCAGAATTCCGGCTCTGGCGCTGGCCCTGTCCCGAGTCTGGTCTGCGTGGGGCTGCAGCCTGGCCGGACTTACCCCTGGCTGTGAGGGGGCTGTCCCAGCGTTCCTGGGGCTCGGCTGGCCCGGGGGCCTGGTGAGTCCATCCTCTCCCACCCTCCACAACTTGTTGGTGCTGTGCTCTGACTGCCGACTCCCTTCTTCTCCAAGGTCAGCCAGAACAACCTGCCTAATGCCGTCCAGGCCCCAAGTCTGGGGGGAAGAAAGGTCACTGTCACTTCTCTGGCTGGGCAGCAGCCCCCAGAGGCGGAGGGCGCATCTCCTGAGGAACAAAGACTGATTCCTCGGACCCCTGGAGCCAAGAAGGGGCCCCCAGTACCCATAGAGAACGAGGACTTCTGCGCCGTGTGCCTCAATGGGGGGGAGTTGCTGTGCTGTGATCGCTGCCCCAAAGTGTTCCACCTCTCCTGCCACCTGCCAGCCTTGCTCAGCTTCCCGGGGTGAGCCGTGCGGGTCCTCGCAGGGCGCTCTTCCAGGAGGCCTCTCCCAGGCCCGCGCAGCTCCCTGGGCTGGGCTTCCTGCCTGGTCTGGGCCCCTGTGAACTGCAGGCTGGGAGTCAGTGGCCCCACTACTGTGTGCCTTGTGCGCACTGATAGGCGATGTTTGAGATTTGAGTGGCTTCCTTTCTTCCTCCTACACACACAGATTTGTCCCCATACTCCTGTCGCAGCCCCTTGCTGAGTCCTGTGATTTTCTGGATTCACTCCATCCCGAGTTACTGAATTTCTTTCAAGCTGGTGGTTAGGAAGCCATTCCTTACAGGGCATGGCTAGGGACCGAGTCTCCCAAGCCACTGCGCCTCCGCCGCCAGCCCCGCCCCCCCCCCCCCCCCCCCCCCCCCGCCGCCCTGGGTATCTTGGAGCAGAGGGACAGGGGAGGTGGCTCTGGGCCATGTGCTGAGGCCTCACTGGGCCTCACCTGCCTCTGCAGGGGAGATTGGGTGTGTACCTTGTGCCGCAGCCTGACCCAGCCCGAGATGGAATACGACTGTGAGAATGCCCGCTATTGCCAGCCTGGGATGCGGGCCACCCCTGGCCTGAGCGTCTGTGACCAGAAGGTAGGGAGGGGTCTCTGGGGACAATGTTTCCTGCCTGTGGCAGCCTCCCTATGCCAGCAGCTGAGGCCTTTCTGAGGCGATGGGAAGCCTCTCCATGAGTAGGACATATGAGTGGAAGGTATGGGTCATAAATACCCGGAGGTATTTGTCTTTTGCCTTAGAGCATGAGCGACTCTGCTGAGCGATGCCTGACAGCCTGGCCCGTGGGTGTTTGCAGGGAACCCCCTCCTGCCAAATGTTTTCCTCTGGTGGGGGCCCATGCCCTGCAGGACAGAGCAGACCCTGCTGGAGTTTCCGGGGTCACTCTCTTCAGTCCTTCTTGAGGTGGGGCCGGGGCAAAGTAACCTGCTGCCTTCTGGTTTCTGCAGAAGTGTGAAAAGCTGGTCCTGTCCTTGTGCTGCAATAGCCTCAGCCTGCCCTTCCACGAGCCCGTTAGCCCGCTGGTAAGGAGGGCTGCCCGTTTCTGCCGGCTCCCGAGGTCCTGGGCCTGGGGCGGGTCCCAGGGGTACCCGGGGCGGGCTCAGCACATGGCCACTGCAAGTCGGGTTAATTCGTGCCTGGGCTAGCGGACCCCGCTGTGGCCACCACAGCCCCCAACCCCACGGCCGCTGCGCCACACCTGACTGGACAGTGAGCCAGTCCTCCTTTTCCCCTTCCCTTTGTCTTCTCTCTCCACTTTTCTTCTTGCTGCCGTTCCCTTTCTTGTGTTCTTTCACTTCTGTTCCACCTCATTCTCCATCTTTCCCTCCTTATCTGTACCTCCACTTTTTCTCTCTTCCTGCTTGGCTTCCCCTTCTTTCCTCCCCCAAGGCCCGGCATTACTACCAGATTATCAAGAGGCCCATGGACCTGTCGATCATCCGGAGGAAGCTGCAAAAGAAGGACCCAGCTCACTACACCACCCCAGAGGAGGTGGTGTCCGACGTCCGCCTCATGTTCTGGAACTGTGCGAAGTTTAATTATGTATGTCTTGCCTGTTTTCCCTCTCCCCTATTTCCCAGGGACCCCGAGACTCCTGGCTGGATGGGGATATCAGGTTTGGTCCTGAGTTGCCATGAGGACCTGGGAGCAGACTTTGTGGGGCTCCCCGTAGTGAGTGTTAATGAGCGCTCTCCTGCACTTGGGTCTCAGCATGAACTCAGGAGGAAGCAGGGGGCAGTGGTAGTGGTTGGCCATCTGTGGGTAACTGTCAGGGCCACTTCTGCTTTGAGAGATGGTACTAAACTGGTTGTCTTGAGTCTTCAGGAGAAAATGTCCCATTCTAGACTTCCAGGAAACCAGCCAGGCTTTGTGCTCTCTGTAGAGCCAGCTCTTGAGGGGCCAGGTAGAGATGGGCTGGCGGAAATGGGCCAGACCATCACTGCTCTCCTTCCCCTTCAGCCTGACTCAGAAGTTGCGGAGGCCGGCCGCTGCCTGGAAGTGTTCTTTGAGGGCTGGTTGAAGGAGATCTACCCGGAGAAACGTTTTGCCCAGCCAAGGCAGGAGGACTCAGACTCCGAGGAGGTGTCTAGCGAGAGTGGGTATTCCACTCCCCAGGGCTTCCCATGGCCCCCCTATGTGCAGGAGGGCATCCAGCCCAAGAGGCGGCGGCGACATATGGTAAAGAGTTGCTGCCCGGTGGTGGGCAGGTGCGGGGGGTAGTTGGGCAGGCAGGGGGCACCCAAGCACCACGGACAGGGCAACCTAAAGCCAGACTGCTCGGGAGGCACAGGAGAGTGGTGACAATGAACCCTCGCTCCCAGCCCCTTAGTCTAAGGTGAAGGCAGGGCAGCGTGCGGCTCAGTAAGTCCGATTACCGCTGAGACTTGAAACTCAGAGAGGTGGATGTACCTGCCCAGGTCACCCAGCCAATTAGCAGCAGAATCAGGGCGAGAAGCCAGGGCTCCCGACTCGCAGCTCAGTGCTGGTTATTCTGTACTGTGATCCCCAGGAGAGGAGAAACACCTGGTCTCAGTGTCTGATCTCAGCTTGGGTTTGGGAGGAAGGAAGGCGTATTTCCATCCCCTTGGTGTAGAGAAGGAGGGAGAGGTGCTGCTCGCAGCAAAGAGCGCTCCTCTGACCTTGGGTCTGGTCCTACATGGGCAGACTCGAGACATCACTTCGGTACTGTTTCGTTCCACGGAACCGCCCCGCCTGGCTGCTGGGTGCCGGGCCCGACCAGCCGCCCCCTGTTGCGTACCGTGCTTGGCACACCGTAGTGTGTAGTGGCTGTTGCATTCCTGGGCTAGAGTAGAACACCTGGGCTCTGGGGAGCCCCAGTCTGGACACTGGGCCTTCACGTTGACAGGTGTTACACTGGGCCATGTTAATGCCACACATTTTTTTTTTCCTTTCAGGAGAACGAAAGAGCAAAACGAATGTCCTTCCGCCTGGCCAGCAGTGTCTCCCAGGTGTGAGCAGCCTGGTGGCTGGTGCCCCATCCTGTCGACCACTCCTCCCCACCTTTCAGCTCATTCTCTTCGGATCGTGGATGTGAGACGAGTCTTGTCGAGCTGTGTAGTGCTCTTCTTTGCCGTTTGCATTTTACAGCATTCATTTGGGAGCCATAGTGCATCCACTACAGAGAAGATTTCAGTAATAAACAGCAAAGAGGGAGGTGTTCCCGATTACCAGAAAAATCAGATGTGTAGGGTCCACTTGATGAGCCCATGCCCGGTCAGGCTCGGGAGGACCTAACTTCCTTGGTGACTCTCTCTGCTGAGGAAAGCAGACTTTTCTCACCTTTCAGCGTGCAGGGCTCGGGAGCAATGTATATATCTGAAGTCCTCTTGGGCCTCGAGGGGAGGAAAAGAAGGGAGAGAGGTTCTGACATACGGCAGGCCCATGAGCCCTGGCCCAGCACAGCCAAAGACTGTCACTGTTTGCCTTTGCTTGGCCTGCCGGGACAGGACGCTGCCTTGCGCAGGGTAATGGAGGCTTCTAGAGGCCAGAGGTCTCAATTGGTGCCTATTTGGGTTCTAACGGTTTTCAGGGTATTTGTTTCTCATGCCCCCTCTCCCGATGTTGACTTAGGTGGCTGATGTGCTCTAGGTGGTATGGCCTTCTCAACGGGGCCGGGTGGCTGTGCAGGGGCCGCTGACAGCTTCAGGCTCAGATTTCACTGGCAGAGCCTGTCCTCTGTGCCACTGACTTTGGGTTCATAGCTCTTCTTCAGTGTCAGAATCTGCCTTCCTAGGAGTGACTGTCAGTGGCCATCCCTTTGGTGTCTCCACTCGGAGGTTCGGACTCTGAGTCTACCTGGGAAACCTGAGAGGCAGGGGCTGGCCAAGGAGGCTGACCCAGAACCAGCTCACCCTGCTGGGCTTCTCCTCCTCTTAGAGATCCTAGTCCCCAGCTTCCCCACTTTCACAGAGCCAAAGATCAGAGGTGAGTGCTCTGACTCGCCTGCCCCCAGGCTGCCCGCAGCCCAGAAAAAGCCAAGACTCTAATGGTAACCCTTTTCTGTTGGAGGCTGGAGAAGGCCAGAGGGTGAACCAGGAGCCCGATCCAACCGCTCATGGGGAGATGTTCTGTCTAGGGTGGAGAAGGGGAAAACTGAGAGGTGAGGAGCCAGAGTCCTTCGGTGACCTTGAAGCAACTAAGAATGCAGAGGGAAATGTTCTGGAAGCCACAGGCATGGGAATTCCAGACTGCATCTCGGATAGAGTTGGCTCTTCATGGTCCGTGCGGGGTGTTTGGGAGGAGGAGGCCCAGGCAGTTGCTGGGGGTCAGGCTACTTCGCCAGCAAGGACTCAGTTGAGAAGGAAGCTACTGCTGATGATGCTGGGGGAGCTGCAGAGCCGGCACTCCCGTGGCCTGGCCTGCAGACGCCGCTGTCTCTGGTCTCGTCGTGGCTTGGCTAATTTCAAGGGAGTCTTAGGTCATGGCTTTATTTTTGCTAAGAGATGAAGTTTAAGGAAGTTCTTGTGTGTAGGACCTTTGTCAATGGGAACATTCTGCTCGGAGAAAATATTTCTTCTCTCCTTGTCAGTTGGTGGTACTGCTCATTTCCTTCGACACCCAGGCTGGGAGGCTGTCTTCACTTCAGAGCCAACCACGCCCTTGGCCCACCATTCTTTCATCAGCCCTTGCCAGGCTTTCCTGCACAGATGGGCTTCCATAGTCCTGTTTCCGAGTTTGGGGTAACTAAGTCTTTAATGAGCCAGTAGCCAGGCAATCTTTAGACCTAGCCCTCTGCTCTTTGGGGCGCACATGACTCTCTGGATTGGGCATTGGCTACTTCCCTTTCAATTTTTGAATCTTTTCCCCTGTTTAGTTGACTTGGCAAGGTTCTCTCTGTACTTACCTCACTAATTTATGCTCTTGGTCATCTTTTCTTTGTTGTGGCCCCCCACCCCCACCTCCCCTGCGTGAGCATCATGGTGCTATGTGCCAGACAGTCAGGTAAGGGCTGTGTCAGCCTCAAATCTGATTGAGATCCTTCCACAGGACCAACTGGAGGCCACAGATACGAAGCAGAATTGCCTGGCTAACTGCTTGGCTTCCCTTCTGTTACGTATAGCATGCTGGGCCAGGAGATCTTAGTAATGTGGTAGAGAGTCACATATTCCTTTCCCATCGCAGAGACCCTGCATGCTGAGAGGCCCACTTTCGGCACCTGAGCAGTCGTAGGGTGTCCTTTCCTGCAAGGGGGCGAGGCTGTGACCCACCACACCACCCCTGCACTGGTTACCCCACACCACTGCCCCCCCTCCCCGGGCTTTTCCTGTGGACTTAACACCAGCATTTTGCGTCATGGTCTTGTTTTGTTTTTGCATGCAGAAAGCAGAACATGACTTTTTAGAAATTAAAAGAAAAAGCTGCTAGCTGAGTGACTGACCTCATTGGCTATTTGCTAATGTCTGAGCTGATCCTGCTTTTGACTTACTCCCATAATGGCCCCTTTTGAAGTCAGTCAAGTCCTTTGGCCCTTGACTAAGTCATGAAATGGAAATACAGTGAGTTCTGGGTCCTCACAGTACAGAATGCAGTCCTAGTGGAGAAATGGGGCTCCTTGGATGTGCTGAGGAATAGGAGAGCAGAGTGGCTTCAGTGGATATGAGGGGGATTTTAGTGCAAAAACTGGAGCAGGATGAATTGCACAGTACTCTTCCAGAACATGGGTAGGCTGGCCCTACCTGACTTCTAGCAGTTGCCAACTACACCCCCTCTGCAGGTCCCCCTCCCACAGTGGCAGCTGCCTGACCCTCTGTAGGCTCTGCTCAAAGATTTGGTGGGTTCTGGCTCACTGTGGCAACAGGTCTTTGCCTTGCTCCTGAGACTTAGACCTCTCCTCGTTTGTTCCCAGGCTCTGCTCTGCTCTCTTTCACTCCGTGATGTCATGTCACCTGTAGTCTTCTCTCCTGAATTCCTGAAATGAGACTTTGCTCCTTCGGGATCATCTCCCCCATGCTTCCTCTTCTCCCACTCCCTCACTGCTGTTAACTGAAATTGCCTGCTCCTTTAGCCCAGTTCCCTGACCTCCTCTCTTTGTCTCAGCCTTCACTTGGGCTGCTTCCTCTCCCTAGCCTAAACCCGTGGCCCATCACACACGAACATTTTTATCAGGATCCTGAACTTTCTTATCCTCCCCAACTCAAACCTTGCCCTGAAACTGTCAACCGTTCTCCATTTTTGGCATCTGCTTATTTTCTGATCCCTCCTCCTGGGTTGCTAAGCATGACAGCTTCATAGTTGACACCTTCAGTTGGGCTGTCAACATTGATGGGTATATCTTTGGCTTGTAATTATGCTGCTATCTGTCCATGCGCCTCATCTTTGCTCTCAGCAAGTGACTGACCCCATTGCCTACTTTACAGAACAGAGTCCCTAAAGTGAGAACCTCCTTGCCCACTTGCTCTTCTCTACCTCCCATCTGTCTGTGTCTGCATCCCTCCGCAGATCCTTGCCTTCTGCTCCCGTTTGGTGCTCTGTTTCTTGAATCCTGCTCTATGGCCTCCAAGACTTATCCCTTATCCCACCGTTCCCACTTCCTGGGGCCTCAACCTCCCTCTCCATCAGTGGCTCCACAAAGCCTCCAAACAAGCAGAGGTCTCCCCCAGACTAAAACAAAGCTTCTTAGAGTCGGTTGCCCCTTACCCATTTTCCTTATTAGCCAAGTTTCTTTAAAAAAGGATTTTTTTCATTAATCCTTTTCACTTTTCAACCCTCCACAGCTTTTCATAAGAGTCACCAGTGACCACCCAGTTACCAAATCGAAAGAATACCTTTCAGTCCTCAACTGTCTTGATGTCTCCACATTTCACACCACCCACCCGTTGCTCTTTGAGACAACCCCTTCACATGGCTTTTTTTTTTTTTTAAAGATTTTATTTATTTATTTGAGAGAGAGAGAATGAGAGAGAGAGAACACCTGAGAGGGGATAGGGTCTGAAGACGAAGCAGACTCCCTGCCATGCAGGAAGCCCGATGCAGGACTCAATCCAGGGACTCCAGGATCATGACCTGAGCCGAAGGCAGTCGCTTAACCAACTGAACCACCCAGGCGCCCCACATGGCTTTTCTGACACTGCAGGTGTCTGGGTTATTCTCTTACCTCTCGGCCACATAGGCTGAGCCTTTCTTGAAGTCTTGACAAGGGAACACATCTGCAGCTCCTTGCGGTCTCCCCTCTTCAGTCACTGGGCCGTCAGGAGGAAGCCTGGCTGTTCCTGCCCCCCACCCTCTGGGTCCGCCTGTTTTCCTTGAGTCCGTTTCTCTCCCTGGACTCTGTTCTCCCCATGCCAGTCATGTTTATAAGCTCTCCTGGGAGGACAGCATCTGCAAGCCTTTCCCTCTGCCTTTGCCAGTGTGGCATGGAGACAGATTTTAGCTATATTCGCCAAGAGGTCCCATCCAAATCAGCCTGAGAATGTGGATTGAGTCTTACCAAGAAGCAGTTTGGTAAATGGGATTCCCAGGCTGGTGGGCAGCTCGTCGCCATGATCCCCATACCAGTTAGAGCCAGCCACAGTTGGTGAGGCACTGGGGATCATGATAAAACACGTTTCCATGCATGGGTCATTGTGCTACTGGTCAGGAGGAGGATCCTGGCAGGGTGGCTGTCTGCCACTAGTATTGTTCTGGTCGAGGGAAAACTGAGAAGTGCCGGGATTCATCCCTTGCTTCAGCTGGGCCTCTTTTGGCCAGGTCTGTCCCATCTGTACTGATATCAGCCCCGGCATGCTCCAGCTGTTCCTAGAGCTGGACGCAGATGTCGGGTGTTTTCTTGGAGGTGGGGTGAGATAGTAGAAAGTGACCTGATTTGAGATGCTGAACACCTCAATTTTGGCTCTGCCAGTTATGAGCCATGTGACACTGGGTACAGTTTCCCCATCTATGAAGTTGGTTGGGGGAGGGGGTTGAAAACAGTGATCTCTCAGAGGCTGTGCTACTGGAAAGCTGGTGGTAGTGATTCTAACTCTAAAGCTCAGGCCCCACCGGGAGCAATTAATGGGGGTAGGACATAGCTGGGGAGTCTTGGCCAAGGCAGGACAAAGGGACTCACAGGCTAGACTGAGCTGCTTTGAGGAAAGCAGCTTTGAGCTGCTTCTTGAGCCATATGCCCATTCCTCAAGCTGCACCTCTTTCTTGGATATCTAGGGTGAGTTCCTCTTGGGCCTTTTCCAGAAGTGGCCATTGGATCCCAAGTGGTTGAGGGCAGGAGGGAGGAATATTGTAAAGGGAAATGTCACTGATCTTAAAAGGACTTACACATTCAAGAACAAATTAAAAAATAGCACTTTTCTTTACCAATAATTGTGTCCTGGAGTGTTTCTTCAGTAATTATGGTCGAACCTACTTCATGGTCTTCTTGCCCCTAGACTCCACATCATGAAGAACACAAGGTGGGCAAGAATAGACTGGGAAACCTTCCATCCAGGGAAGAACTCAACTCTGCGCTTCTTGTTGCACGAACACAGCCCATTCCTCAAGATTCAGGCAATGAGTCTGAGGCAGAGTTAGGGGAAAGCCATCTTCTGAGTGCCCACCACTTCCAGGCACTTCATACCTCAAGGATGTCCTTTATAAAGTGCCATCCCCCAGTCACCTAGCCTGAGCTCTCCTCTCTGCCCGGTCTACGCCTGTGGTTTCTAGCCATCTGGGGGAGAAGGACGTTGTTTTGAATATTGTTCATTCATTTAGACTGCACAGAATCTGAACCCCTTTCCTATTTGGGCAGAATTCCCCACTTCAGGAGTCTTGGGAAGCAGAGCTCACTCTTCACCACTGTAGCTAAATATATTAAAATCTTGATTTATCAGCATGCCCTGTAGCTAGGATACAGGTCTAATGGTAGTCATTAAAAAAAACAAAACAACAACAACAACAAGAAAAACACCAGGGACCACAGAGACATCTGTGGTGATGGTATTGGTTGCAGTGAGGCAAGGTTTCCATGGCAGCGAGAGCAGCAGAATGAACTGAAGCCCCTGGTGCTTGATGGCAGTGCTGGTTTCTACAGTAGACCCATTAGCTCCTAATTCTCTCGCTTTTCCAACAATTCTGTGAACTCTCTCAACAAATATTTTATAGAATCATTTTCTGCTTAAATGAACCAGAATTGGTTTCTTTTCATTGGAAATAAGCACCCTAACTGATGCAGAGATCTCGGAGAATCTCATCAAGTCAGCGACCCACTCTCTGAGCTCCAGAGTCCTGCTGTCTATTGGACATGTACACTTCGGTGTCTCGATGTCACCTGACATACTAGCCAGTCCCCAGCACCCTTAACATATTCTTCCTTATGTAGTCTCTATCTCGGAAGCTAGGAAGAAAACCAGGGGGATGTGGTATCAGAGAAGTTTGTGTTTCAAGGAAGGATGATCACTTTTAAAAAAATATTTATTTGGAAGAGAGAGCACGAGAGCATGCACATGAGTGGGTGGGAGAAGCAGAGGTAGAGGGAGAAGCAGACTCCCTGCTGAGCAGGGAGCCTGACGTGGGGCTCGATCCCAGGACCCTGGGATCATGACTTGAGCCGAAGGCAGGTGCTTAACCAACTGAGCCACCCAGGCACCCCAGATGATCATCACTTTTAATGCTTAAGACGAGACCTGGAAGTCTCTCTGACCCCCACCCTTCCCAGAGTGGCCCAAATACCCAAAACATTACCCATGCCTGTTCCGAGCTTTCTGCTATGTTTGTCCTCCAATGCTGTCTTTCTCCAGGTCCCAGGGACATACAGCCTGACTACTCCCCACTCCTCAGCTTCCACAACAAGCTGCTATAGCAAGCCCACTCCCCAGAGCAAGCCCTACACTGGCAGGCAGGCCTACAGCAGACCCCTTCCTTTTGCACACATGGCCTGTGGATTGTTTTATCCACCGGGCAGTATAGGAAGAGTATTCAGGGCCTGATAAAAATAAGTCCTAAGAAAATTTAAAAATAAGAAAACCTAAATAAATATCTATTCAGTGTCTAAATGTTAAACCCTTGTTAATTTTATAACCATTTCACAATATTTCTCCTACACAGATGGAGGCCAGGGGTACAGCAACCCCCAGGAAGCTTAGGAATATCCTTTCAGTCCAGTGGGGGAAATAAAGCTCTGTTTTCAGTATAAGAGGATAGGCTCAACTGCTGTAATGACAACAAAAAAGATCCAAAGAAAGGGGCTTAAAAAATAGAAATGTATTTCTTTTTCAGGTTAATAGTCCCAGAGGTAAGCAAACAGATTAAGGTAGGTAGATGGCTCTGCTCTGTGAGATTGTCAAAGAACCCAGGTTCTTTATAAGGTCTGTTTTTACCATTCTCTAGGGTGTCACTTTCATCTGTGGGATTGAAGTGGTTGAGCAGTAGCTTATCTGTGTTCCTGTCTGGAGGAAGGGTAAAGAGAGAGGAAGTGGAAATAAGCAATTTCATTCAAAACCTGTATCTTGGAAGTTGTACACATCACTGCTTCTGATATGCAAATTCATGAAGCATTCCATATTTTTAAGTATCAGCTCTGAATCAAGATTATTGTTAGATTTCTTCCATGCATCCACATGTTCCATGCTAATGGGATGGTATTATGATAGAGTTGCATGGATAAAACCTGGTTTAGAAAAGAAAAAACAGGGTGCCTGGGTGGCTCAGTTGTTAAGCGTCTGCCTTCAGCTCAGGTCAGGATCCCAGGATCCCAGGATCCTGGGATCGAGTCCTGCCTGCATCGGGCTCCCTGCTCGGCGGGAGGCCTGCTTCTCCCTCTCCCACTCCCCCTGCTTGTGTTCCCTCTCTCACTGTGTCTCTCTCTGTCAAATAAATAAAATCTTTTTTTTTTTTAAAAAGAGAGAGACTTAAAAACCATATAAACCCATTGCGAAGTATGGAACTTACTTACATTCTGATTTAAAGAAACTAAAAATATCATGAGATAATTGGGAAAAGCTGAATGCTAACAGGATATTTGATGATATTAAAAACTTATTTTTTATGTTATTTGAATTTGTTATTTTAAATTTTTATGTTTTTTAGGCATTATAAAGGTTTGTTATAGTAGAGTATTAAAAATAATGAAAAGCCTGTAGAAAATGGTTAAATAATTAATAGAATATAATTTAAATTATATTTAAGGAGTCTATAGGGTATACTTTAAATGAGACAAAGATTCTCAAAGTCTTCGTTTGGATTAAGAATCTAACAGAGTAATGGGATGCATAAACGGAGAAGAAAATTCCAAAGTTCTTATTTCTGACAGCAGAGACGTCAGTTTAAAAAATTATCAAAAGAGGAATAAATTATTAATACAAGCAAACAGATTTGCAGAGTAGATTACCTTTTATAGAACATCATAACACCTTCTGAAGCACAGCCTCTTAAAAGATGCTTTTGTATGAATAACATTTCCAAGGCTCACTGAACAATCCTGCTCTGTGTTTTGTTTGAAACTTTCATGCAGTCTCCCCACCGGACAGGAGGGTAACACAGTCTAGTCTTTAGTGTTAGTTAGACTGGGTTGATTTTCACTAGCAGTTAGAATGGCCTAAATTTTCAAAACTAAGCACTAAAATTCTATCATTTCACTTTAAGACAAAATTTCCTGTCTAAGAAGTTTTAAGTGTATAATACAGAAAAGAACAACTACATAAAATACCTGGTACTTAGATCAAATACTAGATACTAGATCAAAAAACAAACAAACAAACCCAGTTGTAGAGGACATTATTGGGACAAGTGGGAAAATTTTAGTATGTGTCCGTAACTTGTATTAATATGAAATTTCCTGAGCGTGATAATTTGAACTGTGATTACAGGGGAGAATGGCTTTGTTCTTCAGTGATACATGCTCAAGTATTTAGGGACGAAGGGTCATGTTGCCTGCAACTCTTCAGGGTTCAGAAGAACTCTGTGTTGTATTATTAAAGGAAATGTGGCAAAAAGTTACCAATTGGTAAAGGTAGATGAAGGGTATATGGGTGTTCATTACACTGTTCTTGGGAAGCGAAGGGAAAATTTAATAAATGAAATATGAAGCATGCATCTAGAACAGCATCATGGAAAATACTTATGAGATGATGCCAATTTAAGAAAAAAGCAGAACACAGAATTATATATAAAATAAAAGAAAAAAGATATAAATATATTAGAATGTTGCCAGTGGTTGTCTTTTCTCCAAACTTTGCACTAAAAAGTTATATTGTATGTGTGTGTGTGTATATATATATATATAAAAGCTTTTATCATGGAATGTTTCACATATGATCTTGTGTGTCTTAGCTCAAAGCCCCCTCCTCAGAGAGCTTGTCCTAACCACCCAATCTGAAGTGGACCCCCAGCACTTTCTCTCACAATCTTGTTTTATTGTCATCCTAGCACTTTCTACTATATTATTTTTCCTTTTATGTCACTTGTTTTCTTGCTTATTGTCTGGATCACCCCTCATCTGATGTAAGCTTCCCGAGAGCAGAAATCTAGCCCAGACCCTCGAACAGTGCCTATAGTTGCTCAATAGCTATGTGTTGGATGAATGAGTGGCTCAGGTCTTTGTCATCCAACCTCCCATTTTACCGGGCACTCCGAAGTCTTGAGAAGGGGAAGAACTTGTCCAAGGTCCCTCATGAGTTCGTGGCGATGTTAGAACTAGAACTCAGGCTCTGTGACTCAGGTCTCTATAGGCTCTTCTTTCAAAATGTCTCAGGCTGAACTAGCTCCTGGGCACCAGGCAGGTGGCAGGAGTGAGAGAGGACGCACAGTGCATTCCCCTTGTTGCAGTGTACCGGAAGCCCCTAGGTGGCGCCAGCGGCGCTCCTTTAGCTCTAGGGAAAGGGAAAAAGTGGGTACAGGCAAACTCCAGAGGCACACTTGGATGAGAAGCGGGGTATTTGACAGTCTTGTCTCTCTACCGACTGCCCATTAGTTGTGAGGGAGAAAAAATGTACAGTAATTAGACAGTGGAGAAATCCACACCTTGACTATGTGACCAAACAAACATCACGGATGAGGACAGATGGACGTGCTGTGAGTCCAGAAGTACACTGTTAAGGACACAACATCACTTATACAGTATTGAAGCCCGGAATGCACAACCTGAATCTAATGAGAAAAACATCAGACAAGCTAAAAATGAGAAATGTCATATAAGGGCCAGGGGATAGGGGACTGGATTTTTTAAAAAAATGGTGTCACAAACAATGAAGAAAAACTGTGAAAATGTCCCAGATTAAAAGAGGCTAAAGAACAAAATGCAATACCTGAGACTAGACTGGGTCCTGTAGTGGAGGGAGATGCTATAAAGGACATTATCGGGTCAACTGACAAAACTGGAATATGGGCAGTAGACTACATTAGTGTATCGATGTTAAATATACTACAGCTGATTACTGTACTGTTGTTATGTAACGGTATATAAGGGAATATCCTTATTTTTAGGGAATATGCACTGGAGTAGTTAGGAGTAAAAGGCCATAGTGTATGAGACTTACCCTCAAATGGTGCAGGAAATATATATATATTTATATGTATATTTAAATATAGAAAGTATGTATTATATATTGGGAGTATATACTTTATATACTGAAATTAGAAAGAAATTATATATTTGTATATATACATATAAATAAAGCAAATGGGGTAAAATGTTAATAAGTGAATCTGGGTAAAGATTCTTTTTTTACTATTTTTACTTTTTAACTATTCTTGTTACTATTGGATATTATTTTTATTATTTTTATCTTTGCCACTTTTCTGTAACTGAAATTATTTCCAGAAAAACATGTAAGAAGCAAAACCAAAGTGAAGGATGGTGGTTGCAGGCACCTTCTCTGCCTGCCCTGTTTCTGCTGCCCGATTCAGAGCTGGCGTCCTGCCTCACTCGAGCGTGTCTTCTGCTGTCCCTTGCTTCAGTCATTCTCTCCTGAAAGGACTAAGTTTGGCTTCCAGCCCCTGAGGCTGAGATTGAAGCTGCAAAGAGGTAGAACTACTCTGTCCATGGCTGGGAAAGGTGCTGAGGCCTCTGTAAGGAATGTGGAGAAGCAGTGGAAGGCTCTGAGTCCTGTCTTCACTCCAACTCTGGCCTCTGGGGCCTGAGGGTATCTGTGGGATCAGCTCGTTGGAAGTCATCGGGCTCAGGCTGGGTTTCCCCAGCCATTCTGACGAGGCATCTGGTACCTGGGGGGCTCAACTGGGCTGGGTATGGGAAGAGCCTTGGCAGTATTGGGACAGGGAGGGCCTCACTATCCTTTCCCTCTGCCGACAGTTTCTTGGAAGTGACACAATCCGTTTTCTCTCCTGAGTCTGGCATGCTGGACACCCCTGATTCCTCAGGAGTCCTTCCAATCTTCCAATGATCTCCTTTGCATTAAATCAGCAACATGGGATGTCTGGTGATAGGGAGGTAGGACACTGGCCCCAAGTCTGACCCTGCACTTCTTCCTGGGATGACTTCTGGTGGTGTTTGCCCGGGCTCCATACACTTCAAATGTGAATAAGAGAGACTTCATCCCTTCATCCCCATGCAGGGACCTGCCTGGGCCTGACTCTCACCCAGACCTTCTCAGAGGAGAGGGAGGTCGAGTCTGCATTTTCATCACCCTAAAAAGAACCCCATACCTGTTAGCAGTCTCTCACCATTCCCCACCTCTTCACAGTCCCTAGCAACCACATAATCTACTTTCCCTATGTATAGATTTGCCTATTCTTGACATTTCACATAAGTCGAATCATACAATATATGAACCTTTGCATCTGACTTCTTCCACTTAGCACAATATTTTCAAGATGCATCCATGTTGTACCATGTATCAGTACTTCATTCCTTTTTATAGCCAAATAAATTCCATTGTATGGATATGCCAATGTGTATGGCATGAAGTACAGGTTCAAGTTCATTCCTTTTCATGTAGATATCCAGTTTGCCCAGCATCATTTGTTGAGAAGACTATTCTTCCCCCCATTGAATTATCTTAGCACTCTTGTCAATTGACCAGTGATGCATGGGTTCATTTCTGGACTCTCAGTTCTATCCATTGGTTCTATATGTTTATCCTTATGCCAGTCTGGCAGTGTTTTTTTTTTTTTTTTTTTTAAGATTTTATTTATTTTGAGACACAGAGATAGAGAGCACAAGTAGGGAGGAGGATCAGAGGGAGAGGGAGAAGCAGACTCCCCACTGAGCAGGGAGCCTGACGCCGGGCTCGATCCCAGGGCCCTGAGATCATGACCTGAGCAGAAGGCAGATGCCCAACCAACTGAGCCACCCAGATGCCCCTAGTCTGGCAGTCTTAATTAGTGTAGCATTATAGTAAGTTTGAAATTAAGAATTGTGAGCCCCCCAACTTTGTTCTTCTTTTTCATATTGTATTCCCTGCTCTGGGTTTCTTGCATCTCCCTGTGAATTTTAGGATCAGATTGTCAATTTCTGCAGAAAAGGCATCTGAAATTTTGAATTTGTAGATAAATGTGGGGATTATTGTCATCTTAACAATGTCAAGTCTTCCAGTCCATAAACATTAATTTAGTTTTGGTGTGCACTAACCTGACCTTTAATTAGATTTATTTGATAAGGAGGCTGGGTCAGACATCCTCAGTCAATCAGAAAAACTGAGTTAATTGTCAAATGTTTCATTTTGAACCGTGGGGATAAGGTACACCTCTACTTTTGTGAAGGTAGGAGAAGAGAAAAGATGGAAAGACTTGTATAAATTGGTAGATCCTACCAATAATTAAAGATAGATCTCATTAAGAAAAAGTTACATTTTGCATTATATACTTTTCAAGGACATGCACCCATTCAAGAAATCTTAAGATAACACATAATGATCTAAACATCTCTGAATTTATCTTATAGAACAGAAAAATTATAGGATGGTTTTTGTGATGTTGAGTGTCTCAGAAATCTTTTGAATAAGAGAGATACATATTAATTAATGCATAAAGCAACTCTTCTTGGCTTAAGAAAACTGAAGTCCATCCCTTCCCCCCAAACTTTGGAATTTTTACTGACAGGGCCAGCAAACCCTGGAACAAACTGTACTAATTGCTTCTATGTTTTGTTATAGTGACAAACTTCAATTCTGATCCCTCTTCCTTAAATGACAAGAAACTTGATATTGCACTTTAACAATGACGTTACCACATGGAGGGTTTAAGTAAACAGCATATAATGCTTGTGGCCAGCAGTGACATTAATAATTACTGGAAGGGACTGAGAGAAGATTGTTGTGTAGTAATGACCCCTGCAATAGATTCAGTTCCCTTGGCAGTATCGAGAGTTTGTCACGTTGGTAGTCATGGTGTTGCAATCCATTACCTTACCGAGAACTGACGACTTCAGCTAGGGTAACTAACCATAATATTTAATGTAGCTGCCTCGAGCCACTTGAAAACTTTGAAAAAAATTTTTTCTCTAAGGCATTTACATCAAGTGTTCCCGGGAAAACCCAGTACCTATATGTACACATTTTAGGGAGTTGTGTTTTATTTCCTCGTGTAGTTTCTCTGAGTCCTCTCTACAAATGTTAGTGATATTTGCACACTAGAAATGAATATTTGTCTATTTGTCCAGTTTACCTATCTACCTATTTATTCGTCTATATTTTACCATGTTCTACAAAGTCTTCCTCCCTCCCTCCCTTCCTTCCTTCCTTCCATTCTTTCATTTACTAATGCCATGATATTTTATTAAATAACTATTAAGTGCCAGGGACTGTCCCAAGCATTGGGAACAAGCAATAAGCAAAGAGGTTGGAGCTTAACTTCTGGTGAGGAAAGAAAGAAAATAAACAAGATTGTTTTAGGTGATGTTAAGATGACAACATAGGGTAATGTGATTGACTTTCGAGGTGGGACTACTTTAGATATAGGGGTCAGGGAAGGCTTCCCTGAGGAGGTGGCTAGTGGGCTGAAATCTACATGATGAAAAAGAACCAGCCTTGGGGAGGTATGGGGCAGATCCTTGTAGGTAGAGGAAATAGTACGTGCACGGTATTGGAAGCAGCTTAAAATAATACAGTCAATACAAGGAAAAAATACAAAAAGATGAAGGTAGAAATGAGGGAAAATGGAAGAGAGAGAACACGGGAAAGTCATAATGCTGGTATGCAAGCCATAATGTTCAGCAAAGTTATCAGAGTTGAGCTGCAACTTTCGTTCCTATCTTCCTGGAAGCCAAGGTGAGACGGGAAGTATGACCGATTTCACGGTATCTTTTCTTCATAAGGAAAAGAGGTGTCAGTGCTTCAAGGGGAAAAAGATTTTTTTTTTTTTCTGGCACTCAGGATGGAAATACATTTCTTGTGTGGACTTTTCTGTAAGGAACATAGAGTGATTGTATTAGTCATCAACTTTATGATAATTTGTTACAACAGCCGTATAAAACTAGTATAATTAGATCCATCTTGGATGCAATAACAGACACTCAGCCACTTGAACTAGCTTAAGCAAAAGAGGGCACTTTAATATAAAGATTTGAAATATTCCATGGAATTCTAGGAATGCAGCTCATTTCAGGAAATACTAGGATCGGGGATAGAAAACTGTCAGAACTCTCTTTGGTCTCTTTTCCTTTCTCTTTGTGGATCTTTTTCATCCTTCCTATTCTTTTCACATTTTTCTTGCAGCCTGGTCTTCTGTATTTCTCCAGGCCATGTGGTGGGAAGCATGTCTGTGGACATCAACTGATTTTCTCTGTTTCCATGTTAGCTACCTAGAGAAAAACTGAAATCTCTCAGTCCTACTTCCAAATTCCTGGGAGAGAGAGATGATTGGCTCAGCTTGAATCAGGTACCTACTTGGAGCAATCGACTGTAGCCTGGTGGCCTAGTTACCTTGTCTGAGGATCCAAGGCTAGTTTCCAGAAAAAGACACCGTTCTGCTGTTTTTTAAATACACTCATGTAGGGGGTGAAGAAACTGTTTAATGGGCTTAAACCAACATTAAAAAGAGATAAAAATATCTGGGTGCATAGCATGTGGTATGGATATTTTATAAAACTTGTTTCAGTTATTAAAGGTATAGGTGCATATGTATTGGATGATAACATAAAATGTATTTCTTTGGGTGGATTATGGTCTAAAAAGTTTGGGAAACTCTGGGATGGGCAATCTGGTAGGATTCTGTTACAGAGTTATAAAATAATGTCGTATTTCTTTTTTAACAGCATTTCTTTTTTTTAAAGATTTTATTTATTTATTTGAGAGAGAGGATGAGAGGAGAGAGAGAGCACATGGGAGGGGGGAGGGTCAGAGGGAGAAGCAGACTCCCCGCCGAGCAGGGAGCCCGATGCGGGACTCGATCCAGGGACTCCAGGATCATGACCTGAGCCGAAGGCAGTTGCTTAACCAACTGAGCCACCCAGGCGCCCTTTAACAGCATTTCTTAATATAAGCAGATGGCATAACGATAAAGCATGACTTGGTATGGGCAATTTTGCAAGGGTGATGATAAAGTGGTCTTTGTCTGGCTTGACTCAGGCTAAAATATAGTCCAGTGGTTTCCAATCTGGCTTGACATCACGCTCACTTGAAGACCTCTTGAAAATGATTTCATGGGATCTCTCGAATCAGAATTCCTGTAAGTGTAACCTTCAAACCTGAACCTGTATTTGAATACAAGATAAAGCAAAACAAACAGAACTCCCCAGATGTCTCTGATAGGTAGTCAGGTTCGGGACTCACTAACCCAGAGACGACATAGGGGAAGGGTCATCTGCATACCTTTCAAATAATTGTCCTAACTGCAGTTTCTCTCAACCAGGCTTTTCATTGGCCAGAGTGGGGAGAATTCTGTGACACAGAAGAGAAATGCCATATTCAGACTGGTTTCTCCTGGGTACATTGACACACCCTCTTGGTATTGCTGAATCTTTATTTGAAGGCAAGGAGTCTTCATGTAAGGTAAATTCTGGAGGTTTGAGAGTAATCCAAACCTTTTTCTCAAAGTCATAAAGTATCCCCAAACTGACATTGACCCCAGAGGATATTCTTGAAACTTTTATTTAATATAAAAAATTATTTTGCTTTATGACAACAACACCTTCATGCTGGATAAGCTCCGAATATAAGACAGAAATTAATAAGTTAATGAATACATAATTGACATTCTCACTGCGGTTAGGTGAATGGGGGTAAGTGTTTATGACATTCAGCTATAGTTTGTTTATTCAAATATAATAAAGAAACTGAATTTGAAAAAAAAAAGAGGTAAACATTTCAAATGTATTTCTTGGTAATGATCTGGAATCACCGCTGCTGATTAAAGAGAAATCTGTACACTTCACAGTAAATGAAACAGATGGCCAAGTTCATCTTCTTTTGTGGGACATTGTGCCACTACTCATGCTGGGATGGGGCAGCGTTGAGGGGGAAGAACGAGGAGAAAATTCTTGCAGGCTATTCCAGACCCTTGTTAAACAACAGTTCTGTATTTCTCCAGAACAAGGCCCCAAAGTTCTACAGTTCAGGATATGGTGGGGATTATTTACGCTTGCTAAATTTGCAAAACTGAAGTTAAAGTAAACCGCCCCCCCCCCGGGCCATTTTGAGTTTTCTAAGGAACCTGACAGCGTGAACCAGTTGCCAAAGGTAGCCCCACTTCTAAGCAATAAAATGAATGGACCTGCTGTACCGAGTTATTGGCTACTAATCAAATAACTTTTACAGGATATCTGCCTGAAATAATTAGGCCAGTAGGAAGAGAGTTGCAACTTCTCTCTGGGAATTGTCCTCGGGTCGGCGACGAGCGCTACCACCCTTCGCCCCGGGCCTCCGCGCAGCCCCGACGGCGGGGTCATCTCTCCATCTTGAGGGGCCAGCTCCGCACGCGCCGCGGGGCGCCCAGGGGGCCCCCGCCGCCCGAGCTCCGCCTGGGAACCGCCGCTGGGCCTCACCTCGGTGCCGGGACGGCACTGTTAGCAAGCTTTCATTTCGTGTCACGGGTGGCCGCCTCTCCGTCCCCGAGCCACGATTCCTCGGCCGGTTCCCGAGAGGACTGCGCGCCGGGCCCGCGGGCGCCTTTCCCCAGCCCGGCCGCCGGGCGAAGGGGCTTCGTCGCAGCCGACGCGCCGTGTCCCCGCGCGGCCCCCGTCCACCTCTCCGCGGCCGCCCCGCCGGCCGCCAAGTTTCTCCAGGGGCGGAATTCCGCGCTTGCCCCCCCCGGCCCCGCCCCCCGCGGCTGCCCCCCCCACTCCCCGCCCCCGCCCCCGCCGAGCGTGCGCGCCCCTCTGCGGCCGGCCGGCCCCCGGGCAGGGTGAGTGGCCTCCCGCGTCGCCGCAGCGCAGGGTCCGGGCCGTTGCTATGGCAACGCGCCGGCAAACGGGCCGCAGGGCCTCCCGCTGCGGGCGGGCCCGCCTCCCCTCCCAGTGTCTCCCCGGGCCCAGCCGTTGGGACCCCATTTTCCCCGGGTGTCCGAGGTGTGGGGTCGTCCCGTTCAGCTCCACCTTCTTACCTCACCCATCCTGGGACCTGACCCTTTTTGGAGGTTTAAAGCGAACTGACTGTAGGGTAAGTGTGATTTGGGAAAAGGAGCATGTCCTTACAGGTTTCTCTCTCTTTTTTATTTTTTTATTTTTATTTTTATTTTTTTAAGATTTTATTTATTTATTTGAGAGAGAGAATGAGATAGAGACAGAGAGCATGAGAGGGAGGAGGGTCAGAGGGAGAAGCAGGCTCCTCGCTGAGCAGGGAGCCCGATGCGGGACTCGATCCCGGGACTCCAGGATCATGACCTGAGCCGAAGGCAGTCGCTTAACCAACTGAGCCACCCAGGCGCCCCTCTCTCTCTTTTTTAATCTCCTAGCGCCTGGCTCCTGGTAGGGCCTCATTATATGGTACTTCTTACAGCACTGGATCTAGCCTCTTGCACGCAGTAGATGCAATTCGAGGAGCTAGAATGGCCTACGAGCAGCCCCTTACTGGCTAGGTGGAAAGGTAACTTCAGCACTCTTACCTCTTTCCTCATCCGACAGTGCAGACTGTAATTTCTGACAAAGTCGTGGGCTTGCTGGAGCCTGTCAAACTGCTTTGCGAACCATGAATGTAAAGCACTTGAGAGTTAGGCATTAGGGATACTTGCATGCTACCAGTGGTTTCATCCTCCTGGTCCCACAGCACCAGCTAAGACAGACCTTCTTTTTTTGTTTGACCACCAAACAGCTCCAATATCCAACTGGAAAATAGGGTGGTCGTGCGTCGGAGGAGGGCTCTGTGAATGGAAAGAAACACCAACAGCTTTTGAACCTAAACTTCTCCCTTGCTTTCTGCACTTCCCCAGGCGCATGGCTTCAGGTTACAACCAGTACACGGCTGCTTCACACCTTTAAATTTCTAGCCCCCGTAAATCTCTAGAGTTTCTTTGTTCGTTTCTGTTTTTTCATTTAGCAACATTTATTTAGGATCTATTACATGCTTGGCGTTGAGGTTACAATTGGCACTGAGGTTACAAAAAAAGTTGGTCCTTTTTAAAAAAATTTATTTTAGTTACATTCATTTCATTAACATACAGTGTATTATTAGTTTCAGAGGTAGAGTTCAGTGATTCATCAGCCTTATATAATACCCAGTGCTCATTACATTACGTGCCTTCCTTAATGCCCAGCACCTATTTACCCCATTCCCTCCAGCAATCCTCTGTTTCCTATGATTAAGCGTCTCTTATGGTTTGTCTCCCTCTCTGGTTTCGTCTCGTTTTATTTTTCCCTCCATTCCTCTATGGTCCTCTGTTTTGTTTCTTAAATTCCACATATGTGTGAAATCATATGATAATTGTCTTTCTCTGACTGATTTATTTCGCTTAGCATGATATCCTCTAGTTCCATCCACATCATTGCAAATGGCAAGATTTCATTTTTGATGGCTGTGTGTGTGTGTGTGTGTGTGTACATCTTCCTAATCCATTTATCTGTGGGTGGACATCTGGGCTCTTTCCATAGTTTGGCTATTGTGGACATTTCTGCTATAAACATTGGGGTGCAGGTGCCCCTTCGGATTACTACATTTGTATCTTTGGGGTAAATACCTAGCAATGCAATTGCTGGGTTGTAGGGTAGCTCTATTTTTTTTTTAAATTTATTTTATTTTTTTATTCTTATGTTAATCCCCATACATTACATCATTAGTTTTAGATGTGGTGTTCCATGATTCATTGTTTGTGCATAACACCCAGTGCTCCATGCAGAACGTGCCCTCCTCAATACCCATCACCAGGCTAACCCACCCTCCCACCCCCCTCCCCTCTAGAACCCTCAGTTTGTTTTTCAGAGTCCATCGTCTCTCATGGTTCGTCTACCCCTCCGATTTCCCCCGCTTCATTCTTCCCCTCCTGTAGGGTAGCTCTATTTTTAACTTTTTGAGGACCCTCCATACTGTTTTCCAGAGTGGCTGTACCAGCTTGCATTCCCACAGCAGTGTAAGACGTTTCCTCTTTCTCCACATCCTCGTCAATATTTGTCGTTTCCTGACTTGTTAATTTTAGCCATTCTGACTGGTGTGAGGTCTTGTGATTTTGATTTGTATTTCCCTGATGCTGAGTGATGTTGAGCATTTTTTCATGTGTCTGTTGGCCATTTGTATGTCTTCTTTGGAGAAATGTCTGTTCATGTCTTTTGCCCATTTCTTGATTAGATTAATCCTTGAGTGTTGAGTTTGATAAGTTCTTTATAGATTTTGGATACTAACCCTTTAACAAATAATCCCAAAATTTGTATGGGATCAGAAAAGACCCCGAATAGCCAAAGGAAAGTTGAAAAAGAAAACTAAACCTGGTGCTATCACAATTCCGGACTTCAAGCTCTATTACAAAGTTGTAATCATCAAGACAGTTAAGGTACTGGCACAACAACAGACACATAGATCAATGGAACAGAACAGAGAGCCCAGAAATGGACCCTCAACTCTATGGTCACCTCATCTTCGACAAAGCAGGAAAGAATGTCCAATGGAAAAAAGGCAGTCTCTTCAACAAATGGTGTTGGGAAAATTGGACAGCCACATGCAGAAGGATGAAACTGGACCACTTTCTTACACCATCCACAAAAATAGACTCAAAATGGAGAAAGGATCTCTAGTGTTTTTCTTTCTTTCTTTCTTTCTTTCTTTCTTTCTTTCTTTCTTTCTTTCTTTCTTTCTTTTCTTTCTTCTTTCTTTCTTTCTTTCTTTCTTTCTTTCTTTCTTTCTTTCTTTCTTTCAGATTTTATTTATTTACTTGACAGAGAGAGAGAGCACAAGTAGGGGGAGGCAGCAGGCAGAGGGAGAAGCAGGCTCCTCGCTGAGTGGGGAGCCCAATGTGGGGCTCAATCCCAGGACCTTAGGATCATGACCTGAGCTGAAGGCAGATGCTTTACTGACTGAACCACCCAAGCGCCCTGATCTCTAGTCTTTCTATCTCAGTGAATCACACCATCCTCCATCTAGTTTGCAAGCCAGAAATCTTGGACTCATCCTTCACACCTGCCTTTCCCTCTCCTTCCATCTCTAAATCATCATCAAGGTCTGTTCATTTTTTCTTCAAACCAATCTCAAATCCATCCACTTATTTCTGTCCTTAACCACTGTCACCCTAGACCAAGCTACCATTATCTCTTCCTGGGTCTCCTATAGTAGCCTCCTAACTGTTTCAAAGGTATTCATCCTGTCCTGTTAATATTTCTATCTGCTCTTTGCCCTGCGGCCAGAGTCATCTTTTAAAAATTAAAATTTGATTATGATACCTCTCTTCTCCCCCATTGCCCCCTGCTTAAAATCCACCATGACTTCTCATTGCTCTTAGGATAAAGATACAACTCCTTAATGTGGCCTACAAATTGTGTGACTATATACTTTAACAGCCAGACCAAGATACTTTTGAGAATAAAAGACACTGTTGTTATTTACATGGGGATTGTTTCTCAGCATTCTGGGGCAAATGGAACCCTTCCTATAAGGCCCTGTGGTACCTTCCTCTTCTCCAGCCCCTGGTTCTCTGGGTTCCAGTTACATCGGCTCTTTTTCAGTCCCTTGTCGTCATTTTCCCTCCTACCAAGGGCCTTTGTGTGTGCTCTTCTCCGTGCCTTTTCTCTTTAGTCTATTTAACTCTTGCTCATCCTTCATATCTTAGATCAAATGTTTACTCAGGAAAACTGCCTCTGACCACTCTGTCTGGGGCAGACCCCCTTGGCTATAGTCTCTTCTGACACCAGTTCTCTTTCCTTGCCCTTGTCACAATTCCAATTTTATTTGTCTGTGTGACTGGTACCTGGTATGTAGTTAATAAATACTTGAATATTTGAATTATAGACATTTCCCATGTCATTAGTTTCTGGAAATATCACGTAGTGGTTTAGAGCCCAGACTGCAGAGCTAGATAGATGGATGTTTAGATTTGAATTTCAGCTCCCCCACATTCCCTTATCTGAAACCGGTGGGGCTAGTTGTCTTTTAAAGTTCAGAGTGTTTCTGATTATAGAAAGATAACATGGCATATATACTGTATCCCTTGTGAGTGGGGTCTGGGGCAGCACCATGTAATCAAACCCATTGATTTTTCTTTAGTGAGATGATGTCACTCTAAGTGCGAGAAAGGTTATACATAGTTTTGTATCGCTTCAGGTCAGGTTTTGCCAACAAATGAGTTTGCTACAAAGTGTTGCAAGCACTTTTTGGATTTTAGGATTTCCGATAAGGGCACGTGAGTCTGTCCCAACGTAACCTTGAGGCAATCACTTAACTTCCCTGTGCCTCAGATTCCTCAGCTGTAAAATGGAGAGGGTCAGAGGGGAACCTAATCCACAGATTCCATTTGTGTTGTTGTGAGGAGTAAATGTGTTAATATAAATTGACCCCACGGGCGCCTGGGTGGCTCAGTTGGTTAAGCGACTGCCTTCGGCTCAGGTCATGATCCTGGAGTCCCAGGATCGAGTCCCGCATCGGGCTCCCTGCTCGGCAGGGAGCCTGCTTCTCCCTCTGACCCTCCCCCCTCTCATGTGCTCTCTGTCTCTCTCATTCTCTCTGTCTCAAATAAATAAATAAAATCTTAAAAAAAAAAATTGACCCTTGAACAACATGGGGTTTAGGGGCACCAATCCCCCATGCAGTTGAAAATCCATGTATAGCTTTTGACTCCCCTGCACTTAACTG